TGGTTAAAACATACATTACAATCGTCCATTACATGACAGTAGATTTATTGTCAATAATTTATCAACTGTCAATTAACACAAAAAAATGCCAAACGTTTTCTATTCCCAACTTCTTGGATGACAATTTGCTGCCTTTTCTATAAGGCGTAATCGCATAAGTGTAATCGCAAGGTGTCACATTTTAAATTGTGATATGCTTTATTTGTAAAACTTTTACATTTTTTTGACATTTTATTGACAAAACATTAAGTGTCATTTGACATATCACATTAATTTGGCAGAATTTTGTTTAAGCAACATAAATAAGAGCATTCAGACTTGAAAGTCTAAAAAGTTGAACCCTTGCAAATGAATAGCTAAAAAGCCTGTTCGGAAAACTATGATGCAAATGTTTACAGTTGTGTATGTCCTTTTAAATCCAGAATACTCCCATACCCATGACTTGTTTCTGATGTGAGAGTTTACCTTGTGTATTTTCCTTGGCTGCCACAGGCCCAGGCCAATTCTCATAGAAAATGTCTTGACACCCGCCCCTTTCACGCAACAGATAAAACTCTACTCTATCAAATGTGTCTGGCCACACCGAAACAGAGACATGCATATGAGACATGGAGTCGGTGTGGACTGAAGGGATCCAGCACTTTAGTAGCTTATGCACTGCTCACCTAGTCCCAGAATGCTAGCTGCACTGCCTGGCGCTTGTTGCCCAGTTTGAAAAGATCAGCACTTCACCAGAACTGTGTAAGGATAAGGATAATCACCTTTATTGGCCAAGTATGTTACACACATGGAATTGGTCTCTGGTACAGAACCAAGGCAGCCATCTGCGGCGCCAACTCAACTGATGGCTCTAACCATCAGGGGCAACTTGGGGGTTCAGTGTTCAGTATGTGGCGGGCTGTTAAAATAAAAGTCCACAAAACATCAGTTTACATTTTGCATGGATATCATCAAATCATGGGGTGTTTGATCAGTGAATCGATACAGATCAATGGATCGTTACACCCCCAGTAGTGAATAACATTAAAGTTTAGCATATAGTACATATCTATGTACACCTGGTAGAAATGTTCTACAATGTCTCACAGGTCTACATGTGCTCTATACTGTAATAGTAATACTAGTAATTGTCAGGTGCTTTGAAAAAATTTCTACAAGACAATGTTGTTTTTGTACCAGGCGGCAGAGTGACACCCTCAGGGAAGCTGGCTGTGACGGAAATCACATTTACTACACATTCAGATTTACAACACACTCAAAGACATTTAGACCAAAAACAAATATCAACAACCTTCTCACCTACTGAAGTAAACCAATTAATTTTCCCAACCTAGAATAAACCACAGAGTAAGTTGTGAAGGAGAGAGGCGGGCTATTTTGATGCTAAATACAACATCTCTCAGTTGAACTCACAGAAGCTGAAAACAGGTTCAACGAAGCACTATGCACCAACAGGCACAGGATTATCTTGCTATGTTGGCACACACCTGCGACAATATTGCACGATAATCCGCTGACTCTAGGTCATTATTTCTTAATTATTAATTTGTTTCAAATGACAGGACTAGAACCAAGAACCACTGGCCTTTTTTTGTTCTACAACAGACACAGATCTGACCCGAGCCTCCTGGGGCTTTGGGGTCATATAGTGTCAAATTAAAAGAGCAATAAACTCTTCAGCAGTCCATTGTATGGTCATCGTATAAATAGCAGCCGGGTGTTCTGATAAAAATATTTTCCTCACAACACAATAGTTGAATTCATGTGCGAGATTCACCCAGCTATGCAGTGCGGTACACCGTGTATGTGAGTGCTGCAGTCACAAGCTGCCAATGAGAGCATAGGCCTGCTCTGTCAGAGAACAGCCTGGTATTCACCGCCCAGCGCACCCACCCATTCACCACCACACTGCTGCTGCAGACACCTCCAACATGGAAGCTCAGAGAAGCGCCAGTGAACTGCTGTGAGACAGGGACAGCAGACAGAGAGACAGGCAGACAGAGGTCTGTCACACAGCCTGGCCAACACCTTCTCTCTAATCTCATCAGCCCAACCTCAGCCATAGCAAAAATAAATAAATAAAATAAGCCAACAGATGTCCATGAATTTGCCATTTGAGTTTTCTTCCTCAGATCACTTTGTTACCAGAAATACTGCTTCGGTTTTAACCCCAGAAACAGACTATGCAGTATGTTAAGTACCACTTGGTTTTGGACAAAAATAAAAAATAAAAAAAGGCCAAGATGACAAACACATCACAGATGAAGAAATGATTGTGGCCAGACAAACCTCTCTGTGTCTGCACAAGGGAGAGAGCTAAAACAAGAGGGGAGACAATGCATTATTGTCTTTCCTCCTCCTTGAACCTGGCAGAGGCCCAGCACTGGCAGACAACACTGCAGATAAATGCATCTGATAACGCGTTATGTTCAAACCTGTTTCTCTTCCTTGAGCAAGTCAACCTGTGCGCGTTCACCTTGCAATGTAACGCAGGCTGTGTTATAAATACATTACGCCGTGGTGGACACGACGTCCATCTGCTGACGACGGCGGAGTCTTGAATTGTTCCCGATGCTCAAGCATATGCCAATCCTCCACAACAATAAGCAATAATTGACTGCACAATTCAGGGCCAGATTTTTTTAGGGGGGAGAATAAGTCTTTATAAGCACAGAGAACAGCTCCGTGTACAAACTTCTTCAGCATAGTGTGAGGAAGATGGGGCAATGGAAATGGGGTCAGTGGCATTACCTGAACTGCAATGGCAGCAACAAACACTGCACCCTGTTCACAGACCTATCATGGCATCAAAATCCTATTTATTTGTCTATTAGTAATCTTTAATCTTCTTCTTTATTGTCTACACAGCCAGCTAAAGCTGCTCGCTGAACATACTGTATTCCATTTACTTTATACATTATACTGTGCATATATTATAGGAATAACAAGCAGAAATAACAACTTACAAAGGTGATTTTAGTGCTGTTTGTATAATCAGATAATAGCAGAGGTGAGCAAAGGCCTAAATTCCTTCAAAAATTTTGTTCTTTTATTAAGTGACAAGTGTTAACTCAAAATCTTGCTACCCTTCAACATAGGATTAAAGCCATTGTTTATTGTAGCACCACTGCAACACTACATGAATATGTCATGTTGTGTGGTGTATTCACTATATACCCAAAGTGTTAATATTATTTCATTTGCTGTGTGATAGGGAGATGATTACAACAAGGACATGGTTTGAGCTAAAAATGCCAACTAGCAAGATCTTAACATACAAACTTTCCTCACTACAGGAGAGGACAAGATGACTAAACTGTACAGTACAGTACATTCATTGCATACAGAAAGTAATCGTGTTTGCATTCCTTCATTCACTTACAGTGCACTGGAACTGGCTTTGCTAGATCACAAAATACAAATGTGTCTAGTGTTACTGGAAAGAAGCCTAAACCTAAGCCTTTTGTCAACATGAATGTAAAACGGTCTCTACATAGTTTCCATGTTTGCATCTAAGTTATTAAGGTGGACAAAGCCAAAGCTACAGCTCTGATACAGCTCAGTGCTGTAGAAAACCACACCTCGACTCATTTCCATCAGCTCTGGCGATTCAAACCCTCAAGTCACAAGTTCACCTCTCTAACCATTTCCCTCAATTCTCAAAACAAACAAAAAAAAAAACACCTGAATGTCAACAACAAAAAAGAACACAACATAACAGTAGGACGTTAAACATTTCACATGGCTGTAAAGAAAAAAGAATAATTTACAAACAAAGGACATTAACATTTTTCTAAAAATATACTGCTTTGTTTACACCATATCTAAGGCTGTTCACCAGATGGTGATCAAAAGACTTGAATTTATTGTTACGCCACATTTTTATTTCACCTCTGCATTATTTTTCATAACCTCACCATCTGATTCCAACTCACACGCCAGCCCTTAGCATTCATAAGGCAGACTACAGAACAGCTGGATCAGACGGACGTCTTTTTGAAATGACAGCCAGGCCCTCAGGATGACTGGATTTATCGCCACAGAAATGGACGATGAAATTTCTAGTTTTGATCAGTACAAATCATGAAGCTGCGTTTCTCCTAAGGAAGCTTTGGAGGATTAAAAACTGAGACATTCCAAATCACTTGAAAGTTGCCTTAAAAAATCCTTCTTTATTATTAAATCATGTTGATATGACTCTGATGTCTTGTCAGAGTGGATGCTTTCCAGATTGTGGTTGGCAGATTGTGTCACTATCCTCTTTTGTGAGGATGTCAGTGGCTGAGCTTTAGGAGTGAAATCTGAATCATACATGCCAAACAATTAGTCTCTCTTTGAGCTGAGACATGGAGAAGTTTTAGCCAAACAGTGAATGTTTTCTGAAGAGGGGTCATGACCTCTGCAGATACAATGAGTGAGTTGACAACAATAACAGACTGACAACTAACACGACACACATTGTGGAGGCAAGGCATGACTGTGCAGGAAATGGCCCTCTCTGTGTCAGCACTTGCTCCCAGAAACAATACCGACCAGTTCTGTGTGGCAGTTTACGTCATGGCTATCGAACCTATAAAGTGTGCAGGGAATTTTTGAGCAACCAAATAGAGGCAGATGGAGCATAAAGAATAACCAAAGGCAAATGACCAGTCCATCTAAAATGGAGCACATTAAACATCTGTGTGGTTACAGTTTTTTTAACCACATGGTTTGTTCTTTTTCAGCACTTCCTCACACACAACTGCACATAACACAGTAACAATAATATAAACTGGCTGGTGAAACCACAGTTGACTTGTGCTGGATTCGCAGCAGGAAGGGTTTTTCTCAAGAGTAGCATTTAAGAGACAAGAGAACATATCTAATTGGCATATCTACAAATTAGATATGAATCTTTCAGCATTTGCTCAGTATAGCACTAACAAAACATTTGCACAACAAAACATATTTGATCTCATAAGAAAGTAAAAATTCACTTTAACAATCAATAAATATTCCATGTTAGTGAGATGTTGTTCTCTTTGTCCAATAAAGCACTTCAGATTGTTTGTGTGTACAAAATGGGTGAACACTGAGTCAATGATGACGGTAAACTACATGTGCCTCCCTGTATCAAATATTAGTATTGTTGAAATTGCAGTGAAATCTAGTTTAGCCTCATGGTGGGCTGATATTTGGGTACCAGAGTTGTCTGCGCACTACACTGAATGTTCAAACACTGTTCTCCCTCCACAAATTTACCTCTCATATATAATCTTTTCAGTTCGATACTGCTGAGGCAGATGGAGGACGAATGCATAGAAGACAACAAACACACTGAAGATGATCTAGATATAAACAACAGCAGCGACATTACACGGTAAGCACCTACGTGGACTCTGATTCCATCAATTACAAGAGCTTGATTGAGATTTAATTCAAAGCTGGGGTTTAATTGCTAATATCAAAGCATAATTAAGCTGATAAATCATGACTGATCTTATTGAATTAGGGATTGAAATAGCAGGGAACCTGCAAATTGTCTATGTCAGCTAAATAAGTGTTCTTAATCGGCCTACAAGTTTGCCTCAGATGCTAATGAAACTGAACACATTTTCATGCCCATCAAGTATTCTGAAATAAAAGTTTCTACATGTAGTAGTTTGTTCAGTTCGATAGCTATGTGTCTTGTTCCACCTGTAAATGTATGTGAAAACACACACACACATACACACAAAAATTTATCCATGTACGTACATGGGTGAAAGGGCAACTTACAGTACATGCCCTTCTTTAAGCTCCATTTATGCAATACATTACATGATGTAGTTAGTGTGATGTGGAAGGAGAGACGGTCTCTCTTAGTGAGAGAGAGAGAGAGAGCGAGAGAGAGAGAGAGGAGATTGTGAAAGACAGAGGGAGAGCATTAATGCTAGCAACACCAAGTGCACACAAGCACCAGCACTTGGATAGGTCCTAATATCTCCCCATGCAATTCCCTCTCACTCACACACACTCCTGTATGCACACATACTCACACAGACACACACTCTCTCAGACTGCATCTGCTGGAGCTAGTGGCTGTAGTTAAATTGAAATATTTCCCGGCGTGTGTCAGAAGCATGCAGAATGGTAATTATGACAGATCTGATTAGGCGGGCCGAGTCGGGCGGCTCCCGGCTGCAGGTGGGACCTTTGGCATTCGTGCGTGG